TGTTAATTGGCTTGCTCATGTATTAAAATTCCATGATTTTCACTAGTTTTTGGAGGAGCGTCAATATGTACGTCTACATAACTTAGTTGCTAGCTTCAATCTTCCAGTCTCGCATAAATGCGAACGGTCATTGCATTTCAGTAACAAGAAAGTCGGTGAAGATTACGTCAGTAAGTTTTAAGGATAATTTTTTAGGGATGGAAATTCGTACAAAACATCGCACTCATCGATAAAACTGTTTCACTGCTGTCCAGTCATATCTTTTTATGAGAGAATATGCAATGATTTAAAATCAATTTTGACTTATTCAGATGGTGGTAGGATAAGATAGGTCCTAAAATACACCCGATAACAAATTAATTTTGTTTACGTTTCGATGCTTTCCTTTCGGTTTTTCATATAAATGCCTGAAAAAAAAGTTAAAGAGCTACCCACCAATACATGTAAGGGGTAATTGTGGTGTAACCTTCATAATAGGCCAGATGACATTGATATTTCATATAGGTACAGTCGCTAAAAACCGTTGCCTAACTAGTATTTGTCTTGTTTGAAATAAGTTGTGATCTTATCGCATAATTTAAAATTGCAGCCTTCCTTCAAAAGTGATGATCGCAATTAACCTCTGCCGAGAGGAGATTAGGTTTATCCTGGAGAGGATTGCAAGACAGGTCTATTGAAAGCTTCGACAAAACGATATCGTTTCTTAGTACTATTTAAAAAACCAGTGCGAGGGTTTCGTCAGGTTTCCAAACGCGAGAAAACACTTGAAACCACGAGGTCGCAGACCGAGTGTTTTTATTGTTTTCAAGCGTTTGGAAACCTGATGAAACCCGAAGTACGAGTTTTTGAAAATGACTTCTCCAATCGATTCTCCAAAGAAACAGTCCAAAATTATGAAGTGTTGTATTTTTCCCATTTTTCTTTAAAATGCTTTGTAAGTGTGATATGTTGTATTCAGTAGGCATTCATTGTATTTGTGAGCTTTTGTTTTTAATTATCCAATAGTTTCGCGTTGCACCAAATTTGTATTCCAGAAGCGTTGTGAACTTAAAGTGATTTACATATTGTTTTTCCATGGCCGAAGGAAGGTCTCGCTTCCCGTAAACAATCGAGAAAGAAAAACTTTGCGTAGAGAGAGCAATACCCAAGTCCACCAGATATAAAAATAAGTTGGCAGTAGGCATTTTTGAGGATTGGCAACGAGTGCGAATGTGTCAAGTCTCAAATAGTCGAGGTTAATGGGGGTTTTTTAATGAGTATAAAGCAGTTTCAGTTATCTAAAATATGCAGATTAAGAACAATTTTATCACTAGTGATGAAAACGTGATGAAACACTAGTTATTTTGAAATGGTGTTTCATTGAGTTTCAAAGTCATCCATCTGACCCGAATGGGGCCCTCTGGTTGGCTTATAACGTCGTGAGTTATTAATGAGTTTGAGAAGTTTACTTCTTGTCCCTTCAATTCACTTCGAACATTCAGGAAAAAGAACCGATTTACTGCATAAAAATATCCTCTCATATAGCTCTTTTTTTTTTCTCCCGCGAGGTTAGGATTACGAGTGCTAAGCGCTAGTACTTTGACTTTTATACCACAAATTTGCAAATTGGGATAAATGAATGAGTACTGCACTGTACTCATTTTCATTTATTGCACCGTGTTTGGAAATCAATGCTTTTCTGTGGTTCGTTTGATTTTTTTAATAAGCAGACAATACAGTCGCTAAGCAAGGAAAGTTATCACGGAAAAATGTATTTATGAAAACTAGGATGGGTCTACGCAATCCGAAACTCTCTTCAGCAAGTTTTCTTTCTATCGTAAATATAGCGAGCTAGGAGTCTAAGAGTGCATGTGAACCATCAATCCCCTTTCCCTGCCTTCCATTACATTTGCATAGGAAAATTTCAACCTCGTGGCCGTTTTTATTCGGCGATAGCACATCGATGCTCTGATCTGAGATATTCTCACCGGTGCGAGATGGATTCGACGCGTTCCTTACACAAGTAATACAGGTTCCTAACTTAGAGCCATCTCAGCGGGACATTGTTCCTGAAAATGCCTCATGGTATTTTCTTCAACTGAGTGATAAATAATTCAATTTTATTTCATTTTTGGGAACATACGAAATAGCTCTATAAAAATTTAAAGCCTGACATTTTTGGACTTAAAATCTAAAATCTAAAATTTCACGATCGAATTGCTAACTCTGTGAATATAAGCATTCCTTTCATCACCGAGACTCCCTCCTCGATCTTGAACCCTTTAACCAGATGAGGGCGGTTCTTCCAAGAGCAAAATATGTTTTTCTCCCAATCAAGGAGATTTTCTTTGCATTTTGCTCTCCCTTCTTTAAAGGTATCAGCTCTGCGAGGTTAATCTCGCCGGTTGTGGTAAATATTAGGGGTGCGAATGTTTAGTGCTCAGTGTCGTGAACTCTCCTTCAGTAATGGCTGCTCTCTTCATTCTGATGCATTCTGTAGATCTGTTGTGGCTCTATGGTCTTATAGGATTCGGCATTTGGGTAGCAGACCCTGACATCAGGGAGTGCCGATCGTTGCTGTACACAGAATCCACGTGGGTGAAGATTTAATGTTACGCCTTTTGTTTTGTCAGCTCCTCTTTTCAGCCGTTCACCACTGATGTCTTGAAGTTCGGGATCAGCTTCAACATTGCGCTATACCGTACTCAAGAGTTCACCTGCCAGGTCTCTCGGATCATCATATCTTTGAAAAATCCATTTCGTTTACAATTCATGGCGTGGTCTAGCGTAAAAATCTCACCACATACACACTTGGTTTCAATATTTTGATAGTTTGTCAGCATCAAGGAATTCCTATTTATTTAGGTTCAAGCCCAATTCTCGGGGAGGAAGTAATGTCAGCCACGCTACTGACCCTTTTACAGCTGCCAGGTCCAGAGCTCGCATCGCGCAGAATGCTGCCCCACATCCGGGAACTTTTTAAGTTCATCGGCGGTCAATTTTAACAGTCCTCCGAGCAATGAGTGCGGAACAATAACGAAAATGGCCATTAGCTACGACAAACTATTTGCCGCGGCTATTTGGCAGCATATGGATTTTGTAGAAGTGGGTTCAATATACACATTTGTATTAAAAGTTATTTTCGTGAGTCTGCTTTGAAAAATGGCACTTTTAGATGCTCTTCAGTATGGAAGCTGATCTTCAGGTCAAATAATCCAATGAACTCCTGGAAACACTTTCACAATAAGCATACGGAAAGTTACTCCAATGTTTCATGAAAATTGTTATTCCGCCCGTTGATAAACTGGGCACTTTAAGTACATGTCGCGGAAGACAGTAGCACTCTGAAGGGTAGCCTGATCTATGATGGTGCCCTAATCTTCTCTGCTCTCTTTTTAAGTTCTTCTGCTCTTTCGTGATTGACAGCTACAAGGTATGTTTGAGGTGTGGTTTGCTGAAAGAGGGGCGTTGTCACTTTGACCGATAAAGCGTTCTCTACACTTGCTTCCCGGCCTGAATTTCCACGGCACAGGCCTCCAAGGCGGACTCGAATTGCAAAGGTCTATATTTAGCTGATTACACTTGTGTTCCGTTATCACAGGAATAAGTACCTGAGATATTGCATTCTCCAGTGGCTCGAGTAGATAATGGCTGTTGGGCAGTATTCCTAATTAGTAAGTTACCAATGTTGAAGCGGCATAGCATGCTTGTGGCTGTGTCTGAGGGAACTCTACCAATCGAGCTACTTCGCCGACCCAATCAAACATCTTTTCACTGACGTATTCCTCCAGACACTCTCGCGAGCCTATGTCTCTTCCCTTCCATTTTTATGTTAATGTTTGTTTCCTTGAATACTCTCTCACATTTTCCTTTTTGTGGGGTTTCGAGATAGTCCGGCAGTTCTTATCGTTTGGAAAGTAGCCAAAATGTAGACACAGGGTCCTCAGCATGCCGCATTATCTCTTGATTTGTGTACTAGAGCCTGCCTCACGCACATCATCGGCGAACCAGCATTGCGTTACTGTGGGCGCCACCTGTAGACTCGTGAACAGAGGCTACATGCTTAGAGCATAAAGAACAATAACGATCGGACCTGTGATCCCTTCTATTGACAGGATCTCTTTGTAGTCCGTGATAGGTTAATAGTAGTTACGATGTTTACTTCCTTCTCTGATTGGCTTTGCTATTGGTCCTTTAAGCAACATAACTCGCATATAAAATCTGAGTTCTCCTCTTTTGAAAGGGGTTTTGTCATTGACTTCGAGTGGCCTTGAGAACCCCGTACAAGATATGAACAAATCACTAAATAGTACTGAACTTGTTTTGCAAGTTAAAAACCCAAAGTGTTACGAGCAAGTTATTTTGACTTCTGCACCACATAGATATAACAATAGTTAAACTAAGGAGTACCCCACTGTTTATTGACCTGACCCTATTTCGATGTGTTGTATGGAGTTTAGAGCTCGACCCTGTGAAATGTCGCTTTGTAGTATGAATTGCTTTCTCTGATTTTTACTGGATTTTCTCTTCAACGAGCTATGACAGTTTTTGACCAAGGAAGCTCAACATGGGAAAATTTGTTAAAGGCTAGGTTTAGGAGCATGGTATTTGACAAGGAGAGTACAAACAACAACAACAACAACAACACTACGAAAGGAAAGTCTGGTTCATGAAAATTTCATCGACAAATTTCCTTCACGAGTATTCTTTGATAATGTAGATAGCGAGCAAAATTTGAAAATATATTTGTACATATGAGAATGACATGTAATGTTCAGCAGCAGTGAGGAGAGGGATGAAGGTTAGGGTTAGGAGCCTGGGGCCCACAGGAGGCATGTGTGACTTTACCTTCCCTCTCCCCCCATTGTACTTGCAGGGGAAAAATAAAATCCATGTCCACTTAAACAGAACATTCCTTCTTCGTAGCTAATTTTATCTGGAGCTAAAACATCGCTGCTGGTATTTACTGGTATTTTTACCAAATGCGCGATGGATTTGACACGTTCCTTACACAAATGAGACAAACTCTAAACTTACAGCACCGTCAGTTGGGTATTGTTACTGAAAATTCCTGGTGGTAATTTCTTCAACTGGTTATTGTACAACCACCTACCAAAAGTAATATAAAGGAGTGTTAATTATAAATTGTGCTTGTCAACATAGTGCATGAACTGTAGGTGTTCGAAAATGTTGAGTGTTTGGTGTCTTCTTGTTTAAAAACCTAAGTTGGGATACTCGTTTTTTGTGTGTTTTTGTATGTGTAAAAGACTGAAAATAACTGAATGCTTTACGCATGCCTATTCTCCCTTCTCTTATTACCCACTGTGGTAATACATAGGGCTTGACATTACTCACAAGTCCTGATTATAAGCCAGGCGACATTGATTGCAGAGAGGGGGAGGGTAAGGTACCAAGGCACAAAATGTTTCAATAGTTTTGTTTGAGTTTACTAATACAGTGCCTTCACTTGTACAAGCATAAATGATCGATCACGCCATGTTTAAACTTGGCTGAGCAATGTCAGCTCGTTAAAGATTTATTATTCTTAAAGAAACTCGTTGAGATCTTAAAAATTAAAGAACCCGACATGTTAGTCTTGTGATCAAGCTAAAAGAAGCAGAGTGAGTACCATTATCGCGAACAGGGAGCTTTGCTTTAGAGAGGATCTTACTTGAAGGGTTAATAATCTGTGGGGACATATGAAACAGCCCTATAAAAGTTTAAAGAACATTTCTGGACCCAAAATCGAGTGTTTCCATTTTCCCCTACAGCATTTTCTTGTCCATCATTACTGACATCTTGTAGAGGGGTAATTTCTTCACTATAGTTGTTTATTTCATATGCCCATAGAATGTTTTCTTTTCGTCCTTCTCTATACGAGGCTGCATTTTATCGGGAGTTTAAAAAAAGGACTGGTATTAAAGCAAAACGCTGTTCACTGTTTTTTTTATCCATGCAGTATACTTAAGGTACCAAAAGCTGGTTTCGCGAAGGACGCACGCTAAGCCCAAAATCCGCAACTACTATAGCCAAAAAAAACCACCGAGGAGGATGTTTTAGTATTCCTCCCTTACGCCAATTTACCATATCCTGAGGGCATCACAACACATACAATTTTCAGCGGTGTTGCATTGAGGGGTCTATAGAAAATACTAATGAAAGTCGCTAGAAAATCAGCCGATATACTCGCCTTGTCGGGGTGTATTTGATGCGCTCTTTATCTAAAAAGGGCAAGACCAAGCTTACAAGTCAGCCAGCCGGTTGTTGTGACTTTAAATGTTTGATGGTAATTTCTTCAACTGATTGTTGTTCAACCACACACCAAAGATGATATATATTGATGTCATTACACTGGATTCGTAAATAAACTATGGGAGATTGTTATTCTCAAAATTGTTGTGCTTTTTCATATTCTACACAAATTCCTAAAACATACACTCCAACAAGTTGATTTCGTATATGATCCGATGTTTTCTCTTCGGTGTTCCGTGTTAATGCTTGAAAACAATTAATGAGCTACCCAATAATGAATGTAAAGGGAAAATTATATTCTGCCATGTAGTGTATATATATATAATGAGATGTAGGGATGTCTACGTAGTTGTTTTTTTGTGCCTATCACACATTATATATATGCCACACGACATAGATTGTATGGGAGGCTAAAGGTTCGATACCGACAAAGGCTAAGAGTGGGAAACTTTGAAATAATAAGTAAACACAAAATGATTTAATAGTTTTATTTAAAATTATATATTGGACAGGCGCAAATTAGAACGCTATGTTCAAATTTATATCGCCAGGTATGGTCATGATATAAAATCGATATTCTGTTTAAATCGATTTGTTTAATTCTTCAGAAGAGATGATCTGAAGACAGCCGATATGTTAGTTTTTTTTATCAGGTTTGAGAAGGTAATATTTGCATGCTTTATAGTGAATGATACATATTCTGTGGTTTTGAACTCTCAGGCGGCAGATGGATGAGGAGAAGAGAAAATAAAGGGATATTATTTTTTCTTGGTGAGGAATAATGTCATTGTATTTCAAAATACTTGAAATGTTATTCCTTGCATATAACTTTCTTCATACCTATACCTGAGCAAAGTCAGATAGCATGAGTCGGCAATTACAATTCGCGAGAATTGGATCCTGAATTTCTAGCAGAGAAACGCAAGCACGAGGTAAAAAATTGCAAGGACATTTATTTTCAAACAAAAAAGCTCGGTGAGAAAATAAACTATTGACGAAGCCTCGAGCTTGAAGTTTATAATAACTTACTATATGGCTGGACAGTCTTGATGTAAATCCAGGCGTTCTGATTAATCTTACTTGGTCTGGACCTTGCCATACGGACCATTTCCACGGAAACGGTCATAAGCCGTATGTTTTTGTTCGCGAAAGCCGAAAAATGAGAATTAAAGAGGTTTTCCGGAACGCCATGATAAAATACTTCGTAACATCGCTTGCTTGAGCTCTATTGGGAAACATTGACCCTCGGTCGGTTTTCGCGGGCCTCGCTGCGCTCGCTCCGTACTACCACGATTTTGGGCCGATAAACCTTAGTACAGCCCTCGCACTTGGATAGTAAAAAATTATTCTTTGCGGAAACTGCTTATTTGTCTTCCTTTGCACAGCCTCTTTAATTAAGAAGGTTGACACATTAAATATCTGTAAGTAAACCACAAATTTAAAAAATACCCCAAACAACGTGCAGCGCCATTTTGGCAGTTTGACTAGACCAGCGCTTTATGACATTTTGGAGAACCTCCTCGAAATGATCATTTTTAACAGCGAAAACCTAAAAAAACGATTCACTAGAAAATTGTGCTCAAAATGCATTATAAACTCTGCGATAAGGCCTGTGCATTTTTCCTTTAGCATGGTTGGATAACTCTTTTAGAATGCACGGCATTTTTGTGACCCTCTCCTTTATTCAACGCCTAAAAAATAGTGATGCCCGGAACAGGTTATCTAGTCTCATTGCTAGATGGTGTGTTAAGAATTGACGCTCCACTTATAATTAAATTTATTTCCGCCTCAAAATCGGTAATGCTGACAGTCTTTAGGAGTTCAAAAATGACTTTGCCGCACATTAGCTGAAATAGTAATAGCTGAGGTATCAAAATAATTACCTTTCTCTCGACTTAGTTGTCTTAATTCGCCAACAGTTTCCAGCCCAACCAGTTTCCGTGAGTTTTGTAGCTAAAACTCTCAATTTGGGAAGAACGTTCTTAACTCAGCTGAGATTCTTTGTTTTTGGTAGTGATTTCAAATGGCACTTTGTTTATTATCTATTTCATTCTGTTTCCAGCTCCATACTCGGTATTCTTCTCCTATTTCAATCATTTTGTATTTTGCCTCTGTTTCGCCTTCACTCTGACTTCTGATCGTATCCCTAATGTTTCCTCTATAGCTATTTGTTGTTTTGTGTTCTACTTATTGGCTCTTCTAGGCAATGTCATTATTACATTCAACTCTGCATGAGATCCCATTACATGCTTGGCAGTGGGAGCAATTGATCCATTTTGCAATTTACAATCCTATAGGGGCATCGGAACACGCATGATATCTACAGATATTGCACCGAGGCGTTTATGGAAAATACTGGAAAATCGCTGCTCTGATCTGCTGATATTCCCGCCTACTCTGGATGGATTTGATGCGTTCTTTACTTAAAAAGGGCAAGCTCCAAACTTACAAGTAGAGCAGCCGGTTGTTGTTACTGAAAATCCCTGATGGTAATTTCTTCAACTGATTGTTGTCCAACCACCTACCAAAGATATTTAAAAAAGATGTTAACTACCCCGTATTCGTAAATAAAGTAAAGGAAACTGTTATTCTCGAATATTCTGTAGTTGTTCAGATTCTACACAAGTTCCTAAAACATATCCTTTAACAAATTTCTTTCGTTTATGATCCGATGTTTCCTTTTCGGTGTTCTTGAAAACGAATAATGGGCTACCCAAAGATACATGTAAAAGGCAAAATTCTATTGGGTCTTGTAGTGTAGTCCTCATTATAGGCCAAACGACATTGATTGTAGAGGAAGTTGAAGGTCGGTTACCGACAAAGGCTAAGGGTGGGTCAGTTTGAGATAATAACACAAAATGTCTATATTTTTATCGAAAATTATATATTGAGCGGGCGCAAATTAAAACGCTGTGTTCAAGTTTATATCTACACATATGCACAATATAAAATCGATAACCTGTTGAAAGGAATTTTTTTACGATCTCAGGAGAGATGAAGAAAAGAGAACCGGCGTGTTAGTTTTCTGCTCAGGCGTTATGAAGCAAAACTTGCATCCTTTATAGTCAGTAATATATACTCTAGGGTTTTGAACTCTTGCGCGGTGGATGGGTAGGGACAGGAGAAGATAATGGAATATTATTTTATCTTGGTGAAGAACAACGCCAAAAGAGGTTGTCCACAATGGAATGAAGAGATTGTGTTGAATGAGGCTGATGCTATATTCTATCAAATTATTTGAAATTTATTCCTTGCATCTAACCCTCCTGAAACCTATAACTTATGGCATAGATAGATAGATAGCTTTATTACGAAGTAAAATCATTGCAGCCTCCGGGCCGGCTGAAATACGACTTACTTTACAATGGGAATAAATTATCTCTTACTCTAAGATAACTACAATAAAGGTCGCAAAATGTAATCTACAATAACATACAATGAGAGAAGTATCAAAAACCAAAATACAAATAATTAAGATAGCTACTAATAATTAAAACTGTTGGCCATGATAAATATGTGTTTTTGAACCTATTTGTCTTACAAATCGGTAGCTTCAAGTATCTCTGGCTGCGGGTGCAATAGGTGGACTCGTTGCGTGGAGGCAGCAGATCATGGACCTTGTGGTTTTCGTCCCTTACAATCTGATCCAATAGAGCATCACACGAGATCTCCCTCCTCTCGTACAGTGACGCAACGTCAAGAGCTACTAGAGCCTCAGCGTAGGATAAGTCAGGCTGAATCATCCGCAACGCGCGTTTTTGCAGCCTTTGCATTTCATTACACAGCTATTGCGGCAAAGAATTATGAAAAACTGGGCACGCATATTCTAATACAGGGCGTGTACATGTTGTATAGAAAAGTAGCATTTCCTCAGATGGAACTATAGCGCGCTTTATCTGTTTTAGGAAGTACAGACGCTTCGCAGCCTTTTTGCATATAGATTCTACATGCGCATTCCTCCTGAGGTTGTCCGAGACTATCACTCCTAACAACCTAGCGGATGAAACAACTTCGATTTGCTCGTCATTGATAGTAATTTGATCAAACAGGCTACCTGATCTGGAGAATGATATTCTCAGTTCTTTACATTTAGACTCATTGAATCGGAAACCATCAACTTCTGACTGTCTTAAAAGTTCATTTACATGTAACTGCATGTAGCTAGACTCATTCTTCAATACTGACTCGACAAGAGTGGTGTCATCAACGTATTTCCAAAGAATTGTGTCTGCTACAGAAAGATTATTTATCATGATGAGGAACAGCCAGGGGCTCAATTTCGTCCTCTGTGGTACCCCTGCAGGAACAGCTTCCCACTCCGAGAAGCAGTCGCGGCTTAGTTTAATCCTTTGCTTACGGTTCGTTAAAAAGTCCATGATCCAGCACAAAATCGACCTTGGAATATCGTAGGAGGAAAGCTTCTACGCCAGGACATAATGGTCAATCAGATCAAATGCCTTCCGGAAGTCAAAGAGTACAACTCCCATAGTTGATCCATTTCCATCCGTTGACTTCGGGCAAGAGTGAAACATACTAATTAATGCATGCGTGGCGCTGGATTTAGGCACCGTTCCAAATTGCTGTGGGTCGATCTTTGAGAGGACAGCGGGCTTAACATCAGTGTCGACAACGTACTCCTCCGCCATTTTTGACAAGCTTAGAGTCAAGGAGATGGGTCGAAAGTATTTGTTTATGTCCTGCACAGGTCTTTGCTTGGGCACCGGCACGAGATCCGCTTCTTTCCATGGGTGAGGGAGACGACCTTCGCGATAAGATAAATTGAAAATATCTGCTATCGGCGCTGCCACAAAACATCTGCACCGAATTCTCTCAAGCTCAATTTGGAAGAACTTTCTAATTTAAGAAATTTCTTGCTAACCCTTACAAATGAAAAAAAAAACTTTCTGAAAACAAATCTTAGAAAATGGATGCATCGCAGGTTATTTTTCATTTAAGTGTAGTCACTTCGTAGGTTTCAAGCTGCACGTATCCCAAAGTCTACTTTATCAGAGATATAACCGTTAATGAGTTAACTTCGGTATATATGACCCTCAACCTCTCTTCAAAATATTAAAAAAATATCCTGGAAAGTTTTGCAGATGTGTGCACTGACGTCATGAGCGTAAGTATACATGTTAAGTATTCAGCGGTAAGCCCTAAAACGTTTTAAAATCATTTGAAATCCAGGGATTGGTGATAAAATCTTTCTCACAAAAAAAAAAATCTCATGACTAGCTGCGGGCCACTTAAAAAATTTACCATTGACAAAAAATAGTACAGGTTTCCTCCTATTCCAAGAATAACTTCAGTTGGAACATTTGAATATAGTTCTAGTGCTTTTGAGCCTGGAATTATATTTTACTGGTCAGTATCGATCTGTCATTAGTTGAGGCACATTCGTTATTTCATTTCAGATACGTAACAAGTCAGTTTTGGCTTGTAAGCCTGTTCCATACCTCGTAAGTATAGTGAAAGAAAAACTTGATATTCCGAGGAAATTTTGTAGGCCCAGGCTAACTGGCTTAAAGGGAGATACGCGCCTGCATTTTAGCTTTCAACTCGGGAAACTAGGGACGAAAACGTCTCCCGTCTCAGCTAGTAAAAGAGGCATGGAGAATTGCAGTGTGCTGTTGGTATGGCAATGGCCCGGCAAGAGAGAGCACTTCCATCACCTCGTGTTGTAATACCATGGGATCCTCATTTCGTTGTCGGGCCTATAAGTTCAGTGTCTCTTTTTTTAAACTTCGGATGGTCTGCACTCAGCCATTCGATTATACTTATGCATAGTCCTACTAGGAACTTGGTGGCTTTGACAACCGGCTAGATCTCGTGGTTCCGGCTTTCATCTCTTGGGGTCTGTCAGTTGTTACAGACAGATCCTGGGCCTTACTTGGTATTCGCACTGTGGCTTTTCCTAGCTGTTTCGGAATTTTTTGAGCCCCTGCTTATGGAGGTGCTTGTGGCTCGTTTGGAATTGCTCGGATGGGCGGCCTTTGGGAGATCATTCTTAGAATCTGGGAAGTATTCCAAGATCGTTTCCTTGAAGCTCTGTGGGGTTTGGTCACAGGTCGTCTCTCCCTATGGGTTTCATTGGGTTGGTGGTGTGGAATGGGAAGAAAGAGGGTGGCAAGCTCTTGGCAGAGTGGCGGCTAGCAGCATACCTTTCCCAGGCTTGTAGCTTATCTTGGGGTCGTACTGCTGCAGTCGATGGTGACGAGAGGTGCTTTAATGTCTTCGATGCTGATACTGAGAGCCCCTGCAAAATAGAGACCAGGGGTTTTTGGTCAATTTACTAGATGACTTTTCATCCGAACACATATTGGCGGTTATGCTCCATTTCAAAGAGTGAGAGCAAAATTCCTTTTCGATCTGAGATTGCTGCCTCTCTGCCAACGTGAGTGCGCTGTTTGCAAATTTCACTTGTTGACCATGTCGCATCTGCAAAAAGCCAACCGCGTCCTTAGACATGTTTCCTTGCCTTCTGTTGGGTCACTCTAGCTGAAGTACTGTTTTTCGGAAACAGCGTCTTCATTTTGATCGTTTCGAAAGCCTCTTTCTGCTATTGCATCCAGATCCACTCGCCATTCTCATGTGTCAGGCAGTGTAGTGGCTGCCACATTTCTAAAAAGTTTGTAGGAATTGAAATAGGTACTTCAGTAACCTTATAAATACCTGCACTGCTGGCACGTCTGCAGGTCAGCTTTTCTTTGATCTGCCTATCCTTTGCTTCCTCGTCATTACACGTCCAATAAATGGCGCTTCGCTTCAACTGAATTCGAACTTCTCATTACTTAGCTTGATGTGTTTTGCTCAACAACGATCTTACTCTATTATGAAATTTGTTTAGCCCTTGAGAATTGAATTCGTCTTGCCAGCCAAGCAGTGATTATTTCAAAACTCCAAGGCTTTATCAGTCCTACTTTTCTCTTCATTGGAGGCAAAGGTTAAACCAGCGTGGATATCGAAGGCTTCTGGCCTGATACTGTAGTGAAAATCGATAGTCGTCCAGCTTTCATTGTAAATCGAGTGTAATTTTTTTCTAAGCTTTTTCTTTCAATTCTTTTCTAGATCACTACGAAGATCTAGCCTCGGAAGAAATAAAACATGAGAGGTGAAGCGAAGATTTCTGCAGTCTTTTAGCCTTGGAACCGATGTGCTGCTGTTGCTATCCGCTTGTGACGTCATATTTTCAAGGTTCTGTGGCCTTGTCTCGGTCTAAAGTCAGCTCGAACTCGATATAAAAACTCAGTAAAAAGCTATTATATGCCGTGTTGAGAAGTTAGTAGGGTGATTTAGCAAGAGGAAGTAAACTTCCGCTGACAACAGTGTGCGTATTGTCCAGCTTTCGTTATAAATCGAGTGTAATTTTTTTCCAAGCTTTTTCTTTCAATTCTTTTCTAGATCACTCCGAAGATCTAGCCTCGGAAGAACTAAAACATGAGAGGTGAAGCGAAGATTTCTGCAGTCTTTGAGCCTTGGAACCGATGTGCTGCTGTTGCTATCCGCTTGTGACGTCATATT